GTTAGAACTATCAGTACCATCTCRGTCGCCCGTGCTTAAAACCTCGAACTAGATTCTTACCYGGCTTGATTCTGTTAAGARTCGAGCGCACCRCGCATCCTCCTGTCCGCCATAGCCCTGYTCCTGMGTCMTTACCTTTGARCGWWCCCGGACGCAATTCCKGTCCTGATTCATTCACTTTTCCTCCTACTGTCTRTCTTCGTCCCGTCTTTCTGTTCGTCCACTCCACCCGTTCGTCACCCTGCTACCCCGTATGCACCCGGCTTGGACCATGCCCACATTCGGCCAGTCTCGYTGGCCTCATCCTCTCCCCTTCCTCCTAGCCCGTCGTTGCTTGTGCAGTGCCCAGCCGCCCATTACTTCTCCGMTTGGGCTCACCSCGCTGATGCTCGTCSCTCCGCYCGTCGTCGTTAGCACAACGCCCAACYGCTRCACAGTGCCCCCGATCATCKGCCCTTCTGCGCTATCGTTCCTTTCTRCTCCAACACCCGAYCCGACAGCCACTGCTCCYTCCCCGCTTGGYATTTTAGCGCAGCGGTCTACCCTGCAGCGCCAGCCGRCCYRAGGGAAACTTCGRAGGGAACCAGCTACTAGACGGTTCGATTAGTCTTTCGCCCCTATACCCATGTYCGAYGAACGGTSTGCACGCAGGTACTACTTCGTGACTCCCGAGGGAGTCTCCCCCAGCYCGCTGCTGCAGTGTTACCCATTCCCGTCGTTGCCTGTCTATTCTGCTTTGCGGCAACCCARTGCACTACCGGTTCTTCCTACGGTTGCCCGGTGCCGCCCGACTAGGTCCATGCCCCTCCCCCACTGAGCTCGCAGGGGGAGGGGATCGGTGGGGAGGCCTAGTGGCTGGCCCAAAAACCCGGCCCTGGTGCCACTCGATGGCCCACCCCCTTTTTCCCAGACCTCACCACCCCTTCAATTTTTTCGGTAGACAGCCCCGTTCCGGTTTTTCATAGCAAGCCGCAGAGCCAAGAACGCAGGCCTGCTATGTGCCCACGCGCGGGCCGAGGGAAAACGGCCCGACGCCGACCTGTTGCGGTAATAGCAAATATTCAAATAAGGACTTTGAACCCTGAAACGGAGGAAAAGCCCCGCGGGCATACTCACATCCACAAAGAGGTCCCTGACACTCAGGGTTTCTTCCATCTCGTGGGCTACTCACCCACCGGTTTGTACATACGTTAAACCCCCTTGGTCCGTTTATCTCAAGACCGGCGGGGTAAAGAAGATCCATCGGCATTCTGAACTCGCAGAAATCCGCAAGTCAACTAAAAGATCCGCACTCCCGAGGCCCTCGGCCGCCGCGACGGCTAGGGGCGCACACTCAAGGTCCTCGACTGTCGTGACGACCATTAGATCCGGCGTCTCGTCCAAATCAAAAGCCCGCTGGGGTATATATACAAAAAAAATACAACGCTGAAGTAAAATTATTTTAGAAAACGCCACCACTGTTCGAACGTCGTCATTAACGAAACCAAGGGGGATAGCTCCACAGCCCTCAACCCCATCGGCTTCCTCCTCGATGCTCCGCTGTCGCTGCGTCAACGCCTGCCGGCCTCGATCCCCAAACCTTCGTAGTGTAAGTTCAATGTCGTAACCTATAGGGCTAAGCCCAAGCCTGAGACCAAAACATGTCGGGTGCCATATAAGACGGTGCGATGCGGCGCTTTGGGCCAATAAAACGGCTGCGCGGCTCTCAGTGTCCGCGCAGGTTCGCTTATACCGTGCCATAATTGACCCGCGCGCCATCCTACGACACCACGCTCACCGCACGAAAGTCGCGCAGTCGTTGCCGATGCCGTCGTCGGGGTCGTTCTCCGCAAGCGCGTTCGACTCGGTCAAAAGTACCAATCAACAGAAAATATCCTTAATTCCTGCTTAATCGAAAATAAATAATAAATAATATCATCTAAGCAAAACGACCGAGGTCCGGGCCGACTCTTACGATCAACAACAGAAAAGAATCACGGGCGCCTTAAACCTACGCGCTCACACACTTGCTATTGTGGTCAACCACCCTGTCAATGCAATTACAGACGCAACCGCGCTTAGCGCGGTATACTTCAACTTTAAACCAAAACTGTTTTCTGTTACTTACAAAAAAAACAGGGCGGATACCCTTGTAAGGGTATTCGCGCCGAYAGCTTACCAGACCATATTAAGCRACGTCCCCGTCGCTTCGCCAAATYAGAAAGCTAWAAATTCATCCGCAYTCCAAAAGCTGACGAAAGAGGAGCCAATCCGATTAGCCGACCAACACAGGGTAGAGGCCTCCATCAAACCATGCCTCCACAACTATATGCTGCCAGGTTTCTAACCCGGGCCTCTTACCGTCCAGATATTAGGACACTGACAACATAAGTTCCAAAGACCTTTCTAATCGTCCTCTCCCTGGTCCTAGACAACCTTTCGGCTTTTCGTTGGGTGTCCCTAGTCCAGGCTAAAACTAGGGACGCGGACCTTAACCGAGACCTTTGAAGGCACTATCGCCTTCTTTCTCAAAAACAATCCCTCACAATCAAATCTTCATAAGCATATACAAATACTTAGTATCCACTCATCTCTTTCTGCAGTCTAGTACAGAAAGGCTAGATCTCCATCTTGGCCCACCATAGCCTGACAGATCAGGCCAGGACTACGACCCACCGCATTGTTATTTAACGGCAGTACCCCTCGTTGGTTACACAACGATAGGTTTCCTCCTGATAAGCATTTAATCAGGATTCCCCCAAAAATTATCAATCATCACTATCCCACAGAGTAATTTCACTTGGGTGGGCAACTCCCCTTAAACTCTTACCCCGCGGTCCCGCAACCAGGTTGCGCCGGCTAGCAGYCATCCAATGGGGTTACGCCCTAGAGGTACTAACTTCTTTTCCGTTAGCTTGACCTTTCTTCAATATGTCTCAGAATCAGCACTAGTGGTTAGACGGGGCGTCGCAAAACAAAAACACTGGCCCACCGCGAGATACGCAGGAGTCCGAAAGCATTTACCAGCCCTCCTTCAATAGGCATAGCATCCTTCGTACGCTTACAAACAAAATCACTGCTAATTCAACCAGGCCGTGACCCCTGACTTGATCAGAGCCAGCAGCCACTCACCCTGAGACATCTCTCGCCCTGCACTCATTGCGACTTTTTCAAACATTCCAAAGAGTGGCCCCTTTTCGTTAGACTTCATCACTCATCAGGAAACTTACCATGTCATAAATTAGTTTAGTCACCTCTGAAGGTGAGCCTCCCAACAACAAAAACATCCCTTTTTGCCAAAAATCCAAAGGGCTCTCATCATAAGCAAAACACCCCCTCTTCCAAAAATCGCGAGGGGTCTCGTCATAAAACAATACATTCCCTCTTCCAGAAATCACGAGGTTCTCATCATAAACCAAACACCCCCTCTCTCAAAGTCACGAGGGGTTTCGTTACATCACAAAACATCATAAAACATCCCCCCCTTTTCCAAAATCTAAGGGGGTCCCATCATAAAACAGAACATCACTGAGAGATCATCTTATGGGTCCTCATCACAACTTAGATAACTTTCACAAATGGACTGCGCTTCCTCCACTTATACTCTGCCTTATCAGCTACCGTGGGCAGGTCGCACAAGTATAACGAGGAGTAGACAGTTTGACTTACAATCATATTCACAATACCCAAGATACATAAAAGGTTTTTCACACATTGTCCACTCAAACTCATCGTACATCAGAGTACAACCACACATGTGAGAGAGACAAGTGATCGTCACATATAAGAATGGTCCCTGAAGGAAACCTCATCATAATATACACTCAGGGAGTACAATATCTCACACAGAAAATGCCTCCAAATCATAGCTTGCTCAACTCAAGCCACACCAAACCCACACTGACAACTACCCCTAGAATACATGTCAGATCTGTGTCTCAAAGGCCACGGCGTAGGCCACCTAAATATGTACATGCCTCATCTAAACCACCCTGACCCTCAAAACCCCAACTCAGTAGAAACACTAGAGTTCTGATCTAAATTAACAGCAATCATCAAAATGTCTTCTAAGTCTAAGAGGGTATCACACAAAACCTAAGTTAATGCCTCACAAAATGCTCGCTCACTTATATAGACAAAGTCGGCACTATCTCCTCAACTCCTCTTGGTTTTGCCTATATAACTGAGCCCTAAGTTCATCTGCAGATTTCTCTACTATCTTGCCCTGTCTATCATACATTTTACCCCTTGCCTCTGAGACCTTCCCTACTGCCTTATCCTCAAGGAACTCGAGACAGTCCAGAGCCAGATGCACGCCTCTTTTGCAATAGAAGCATAGCTGATCAATCTTCCTCTTGAACTTCTTCTTCCTGGGCTGTCGAGGTGGTGATGAAGGAGATCCCACCAAGGTACCGACACCCCCCTGCTGCTCTGATCGAGGAGCTGCGGTACTAACGATTTCCTGCTGCTCTGTCCGCGGAACCGGTCCACCAGACCCAAATCCAGTAGCCCAAGATCCTAGTCTGTCTCTCAAATCCTCTGTCGCTGGGACGTACTCGGGCGTGTCCAACCTCTGAGATCTCCTCTCGAGTGTCGCCTCTGGCACTGCCGTGGGATGCTCCTTAATCTCCTCTGGTCCATACTCAGGTGTGCCTATCCTCTGGAGTCTGCTCTCGATGGTACTCTCTGCCTCAATCCCTATCTCTCTCTCAAGAGACTCCTCTATCCTCTGCTCAGGTGAAAACAAACTCACCTCCTCCTGCATCGTATGCACCGCCTCAAGGAGCACGCCCATAGATCCCTCTGCCGAGCCCTGAGCCGGCTCACTGCTAGATGGTGGGAGCCCCTCCTCTACTACCAAAGGTACGACTGGGCTTGTCGTCGCCACTGGCAGCGTCGCGAGCTCAGTAGGGGCTCTAAACTCGAACGCCTCTCTCTCTGCCTGTCTCTGGGCCCTCGCCTCCTCTTACTCCAGGATAACTCTCCCCATAGGTGGCTCCTGGCGAGGCTCTGCTGCAGATGGCTGTCATGGCAATCCCTGTCTAGGCTGTCTCTGCTCTCCCTGCCTGCTGCTCTCTGGCCTGTCCACCCTTCCTTGGGTTTACTGCCTCAGGCTCTCGATGATTGCTGCCTGGCTGGCCACCAAGGTCTTGAGTTCCTGAATTTCCATCTCCATAGCCTCCAGGCGTACTCCATGGTTTGCTTCCTTCATCTTCGTCCTTGTTAGATCGCCCTCCAATAATAAGTGCCGGTCAAAAGTGGTCTTGGCCAGGAACTTGATTTTACGATCTAACCTCTCTTTCGCCTTCCTGGCCACCCCAAACCCGGCTCTGACTGACGATGGAAGCTCCTCTCCTTTCTGCTCCCAGAAGTCTCTCCACATCTCAGGAATCTCCGGGGCCTTGGCTGGCGCGCTGGGTGGCTGACCCAGGAGTGCTCCTGCCGCCTCCGATCTCTGCCTCTCCTGTTGCTGCTCCGGGAGCTCCCCCGCTGCCTCCAACCTCTGTCTCTCCTGCCATATCTCATCTATCCGTCTAGTTCTTCTTGCCCTCTTTTCTTCAGCCGTCTCTCCAGCTGAGGCCCTTTCCCTCGTGCGGAGGTCGACCCTCTTTGGGATCTCTGCTTCCATCTCCTTCTCGGGCTGGCATAACTCCTGGCGTGGCTCTGCAGGTGCTGGCTCCTCTAGGTCTGGGTGCTCCAGGGCATGAGCTGCTAGGTGCCTATCAATCAGGATCAAAGCTTCTCTCCTTACAACTGCCCTCTCTCCTCCTTTCTACCCTCCCTTCTGGCAAAGGAGCCTTTTCGGACGAAGGTAAAGGGGTCTTCTCTCTCTGCAACCCCTCCTTTGTCTGCCGGGTACTCCCTGGTGCATCCCTGAGTCTCAAACCCACTGCTGGCGTCTGTGGGGGCATGTCCTCTTCAACCTCTATCACTTCCTTCCCTGCACGTCTCCTCTCATCGCCCGGCCCTCTCTCTCGCTGAGTACCCCGGACCTCTTCCTGTGATACCTCCTCCCGTGGCATTTCCTCTCGTGGTATCTCCCCCTGTGGCACCTCCTCTCGTGACACCTCCTCTGCCTGCTCTCCATGCCCCTCACCCTGAAGCGACGCCCTCCACCGAGAAATATCTAAATGCATCTCCAATTCCCTCAAGGGCCCCTCTGACGCTGGTGGCTCCCTCCGTGTGTGTGTTGGCGACCTCCTCAATCCACCCTCAGTAAAACGATGGAACTCCACTGGCCCCAACCCACACTCAGGGTATGCCCCTCGCTCCTCGTTCTCTGGCTCCTGCTCTCTCCTGGCTAGGGCCTTCCGTCCTCCTCGAGTTGGTCTCGCCTCCCTGGGCTCAGGGTCCCTCGGCCTCTGACTTCTCTGCCGCCTCTTGACTCTGGGCTGAGGGAGCTCTGGCCGTCGAAAGGCCTCTCTCAAATGTGCCCTGCAGCTTTCCCAATCTCGTGCCATGTCCCTGATCTGCATAGCCAGTGGCCTTTCCGCCTTCCTGGTCCAGAGTGGTAATGTCTGCATCCAATCATCTCTCTGTACGCCCTGCTCTTGCATGAACCACTCAAACGCGGGGATGAAGTCCGACGCATTTCCAATCTCCAGGCGGATCGGCCTGCCATCAGGTCCCACAGGCAAGGGTCGCAACCCCTCCATCCTCATCTCCACCTCCTGCCTCGTCGTCGCCTCCCTATGAATCCTGGCAATGGGCTCTTTGAACCTACCTGCTCCCCTCAATCTCTCAATCGCCTGAGCGACGGTCCAGCCCATACGCCTCGCATGCTCCCAGAAACTATCCAGGAATAGCTCGATGTACCCATCATTGTAGACTGGAGTACTCTCTCGATGGCGAGGCCCATGCCGCTCATATCCTCCTGATGCGCCCAACGGCCTCTGAGGCGGTCGTGTCCCCTTCCCTCCTCTTGGCATGGCTGTCTTCGTAAAGTCAGACCTGCACAACAGGCGAAGGAGACAACAGGCACACATTGGGGTAAGCAAGCAGGGGATAATCAGAGCAAGCTCAGACCAGACCACACTCATTCAGCATGCATCCTTCCTAATCTACACACCCTGTTACTTCTATTCTAAAGGCGGTCAGGTCATCTCTCTTACCTCTTCTCTCGCCACAAATTTCTTCAGTCGCGTTCCAGATACCCAATCC